AGCCCAAAAACAAAGCAGGTGCCAAGTTGGGTTCTAGAGTGCGCTTATTAATGCCCTTTTTACGGTAATAGACAAGCTGACCAAAGCAATGCCTAATGCCATCGAACTTCGACTTTGTCAAGGCTTCCCATTGGGTCTTAGCCTTGTCGAATGTTGCAGGTCTGTCGAATGACATGGAGAGGCACGCAAAGGGGTAGGAGTGAGTGTGTAGATCGTATGGCAACCCACTCTGGAGGTGGATGGATCTGCAACATTCCTTTTCTTCCCTAATGTCCCTTTCCAACTCGGCATTGTGGGGCCATCGGTTCGGCAGCGAGGTTTCGGGTGTTAATCCGACCTCATGAGCTGCCGCTTCAAGCTCTCCAGCTTCATCCATTTTGACCAGACATGTCGGAGAGAGCTCGTTGGCTTTCAAACCTAGGAAGTGCCTCAGATTTTTGGAATGGGCTGCTGTGTCCCTTTTGGATACAGGATATGCAATCCTTGCTCCAGAGAAAACATCCCTGATGACGTGGTGAGATTTAATCCCTCCGACTCCAATGCCCGCATGTTCATCTCCTTTCGCAAGGATGACACTGTCAGTGGCGAGCTGTTGAAACGGGGCAGTAGGATTGTCGATCCCGTCATCGGCACGACCATCGGGTTTGCGAGCAACACGCGCTGCGGTGTTCTTAGCAATCGCACATATCCGACAGAATGGATTCTTTGGGAAGTGTGATCGAAGGTGCTCGGGAGAGTTGGCTGCTGCCCGGAGTACCCTCTCATCGCTTGGCTCGCCATCGGCTAGCTCTGCAAGCGGCACCTCATCGTCCCGGTGTGGTGGGACTGGCGGTGCTTCTGGCGGTGGAATCGGAGGAGGTTCTGCTTCGAAGAGTTCCCCATCCGCAACGGAAACGGCATTGTCTCCATCCACCGCCGCGCCTGGACTGGCTGCGGCCTCGACGGGCTGTAGATTGGATGGCTGATCAGCAAGCTTTGGGATGACGGTTTCGTCATACTGGGGCACATATTCTACAACACGAGTTGCATTGATGCGAGCTCGGCGTGGGACCTTGATGGTGCATCTTGAGATGTCATCGGGTGGAACGAGATATGGCACATCCTCCCTTGGGTCCCAAACGAACAAGTGACCTTGGTCGACGACCGTCTTGCCGATCGATTGTGCTGGAGGGCACCCCTTGAGGACATACACCTGTTCATCCGGAGGGATTACATTGCTGTCCTGGAAGGCTAGGGACGTATTTCCCTGTTGTGCACCTCCACCGGTCGCGAATCCAACGGGTGTCGAACTCGGCCGGACGCACTTGTGCATCACACTGCTGAGGGCTTGCCGCCCAATGAGATGCCTGCCAGCTGCAGTATCCCACAACCAAGTCACCTTATTATCGGTGATGGCTGGGACCGCCGGAATCAGCGGGGCCACAGCCGCGGGCGCCGAAGGCTGCCCCTTGGCTTTGGAGATGGACTTGGGCGGTGGTCCCGTGTACTTTTTGTTCGGATCATGGGAGAACGCGCATTGCTTGGCGTAGCAACAGTTGTACGCAAAGAACATACACGGAACTTTTGCCTTTTCAGCTGGCGTCATTTTCGCAGTTTTGCTTACGGCATTAGAGCGGGGAGTGAGATCACCCCCTTGCTTGCCCTTGGATTTCGCCTTGGGTGGCGGCCCTCCTGGTGGCTTACCAGAAGGGGCAGGCGCCGCGGGCGCGGTGCTCTTTGCTGCCGGCTTCTCTTCTTTCTTCCCGGCCTTCTTGCTCCGTTTCTTCTTGGTTTCGGCTGGAATGTCAAGACCGTCGGCTTAAGCTTAAGGTTCTTTTCAAACCCATCTCTAGTCCGCTTTTGCTGGTCTAAATCTATTGCGTTCCTTACCTTAGCCCATAACCAAGATGTAGAGCGCCTATGGCTGCTCCCGGAGGCTTCGATGGCCTTGTCAACCTTAGATTTCATGGCCGTGCACTTGGCGAGTTCATCGACCAAGTGATTGAAGAGCGTACGCTCCCTGGGCAACTCGTCAATCGGGATCGCGGACAGTACGTACTGATACTTATCGCGAAACGCCTCAAGGTCGGCTACTGACTGCCCGGCTAGTTTGAGGTTCAACAAACTACGTTCACCGAGCACACCAATTCTGTCCCTTTCTAGTTGAAAGTGACGAAAGATGGAAGCCATCATGATGCGTCCATTGGGCATGCCTCCGGTCACGGAGCGTTCATGCTCAACCATTCCCTGAAACAACAGCCCAAACTTACCTTTGCGGCATGTCTTTAGGAGCTTCGCAGTGACTTCGCGATCGGTTCGTGGGAACCTTTGATCAGCTTTAAACAACTGTGCGTCACTCTTAGTTAGGCAGTCTTGCGCCCACAAGTAAAGTTCATCACCTGGGCTCTTCTGAAGTCTACCTATGGCCATTAAAACCTGGTTTACATAACCTCTTGCTTGGCCCACATCCTCTGGAGGGGCAGGAAATGTCAAATCCCAAGTCTTTGATGCGGACGACATCCTCCTCTTGGGATGCGAAACTTTTGGTCTGGTGTGCGCTGGCGGAGTCTGGGAGTGTGCCGTGAGCATCACCTACCGCACTGAAAGCAGCACTTGGCGCGCAAAATGCAGCGCCCCCCTGAGTTGCATCTCCACTGTTGGTGTCTAAACCCACTTCGTTCATTGAGAGACGGGGGCATGACAATTCGTCGTGGGAACCACCGCAAACCCTACACTGGCCAGTGGGTTCGGGTTCATCGGCATCATCATCCTCGTTCTCGGAACTTGATGAGGACTCTGAGCTCGCGTCTGATGCAGCCTTAGGGGTGGTGTCGACCATTCCCGCACTAAAACTTAGGGGGATTATGGGAACCGGGTATGCCTTAGCAGCTGCCCTTGCGGCAGTTGGGGCAGGGCAGGGAGCTGAAGCCATTGGAGGAGGAGCCACGCTTTGTGCAGCGACCAAAGTGCTAAGCTGATGCACCATTGAGGCTAGGGAAGCAATTTGCTGCTTAACATCTGCTATCTCACTTCTCTCATCCTGACTACTGCTCTGCGCGCCAACGGCTGCGCCTTTGGCGGACACAGCAATGTTGCTTGCGGCACCTGCACCTACATCGAATGCGCCAGTAGGGGCTGCGCCCTTTGCGGACGTGGCGCTTCCTTTGGCGATTGCTGCTTCGGCACATTGCTCTGAATCGGTAGGGGCAGAACCCTTTGCGAGTCCCGCACTTCCTGCGATGTCCTGTGTTGGGCCGGTAGGGGCAAGGCTCTTTGCGAGTCCCACACTTCCTGCGGCAACATCACGTGGGGTTGCAACATCCTGGAATGTGACATGCAGGTTGGCAGAGGAAGCACCGGGCTGGGCGCCCGAGTCAACACCAGTTGTATGATGAGGACCCACTTGAGGTGCAGCACTATCTAAACCCTGTTGTAAGGATCTATCAAGTCCACTCTGCTGGTTTGCTTGGTCTTGCAATCCACTGGATGAAGCCCCCGTCTGGTTACCCATTGACACATCCTGTCCACCCAAAATGGGGGAGCTCCGGTTATGCGACCCTTTGGGTTGAGGGGTATTAGAATCCGTACCATTATCGGTTTGTGCCTGCGGGGCACTTTGCGGCGAGCGAGTCGGAGGCTGACGGACTTCAAGCAAAAGGGAAACCGTCCTTTCAAGTTCGGCTAACCTAGACGCTTGTTGCAAATCCTTCTCTTGCAGAGCTAGAATGGTGGCATCACGTTCGGCTACGGCACGTTGTGCTTCTTGATAAAGGTATTGGGTCTGAGCTTGGGCCTGGGCCTGTTCAGCATTAGCTCTGTTGCGAACCTCTGCTGCGTACCTTTCAGCTAAAGCCCTAGTCTGACCTACCTCTTCATGGGCCTCGGAAACGACTGTTTGCGCCTGAAGCCTAAGCACCTCGGCCTGTTGCCTGGTTGCCTCCTCCTGCTCCGCAGCGCCAATGGCTTGCTGCCTCGCATTGAGCTCGTGCTCACGTGCATAATTCACGGCCTGTTGAGCTTGGGTTACAAGGTTCATTGCCTGATGCCTAAACAACCCTTCCCTTTGTTGGGCGGCTTCCCGGAGTTCCCCCGCCTCCCTTCGGGCCTGCTCAGCCAGCAGTTGCTGTTGCTGTGCATGTTCAGCGGCCTGAAGCGCGACATCGGAAGCATGGTGTGCACGTTGAACGGCGGCACCCGCAACAAATGCAGCAGCTGGGAGGTTCTGGGTTGGATCGGGCGTTCCAGCCGGCTCTGATGAGGATGGTTCTGAAACGAACATGCGCCTAACAGGGGTTGCATCGGAATCTGGTGCAGGGCTATTAGGGTTATGCCTAACAACAGACATGGCTGGCACCATTGCACCCGCAAGGTCTGGGTCATCATAGTCTGTGCCATGTGAGGATCTAGACCTATCTTCGGATGGGGGTGTAATGCCAGAGGGATTCATGCCTGAGCCGCACGGATGCGATAGCTTTTCCTGCACACGCGAACCAAGTCAGTGCGCCAAAGGCAGCACTCTCCAAGGCCGGTGATTTGTGCCTGGTGGGATTATGAGATGTGCGCTTACGGCTACACTCAAAACAGATTATTGAATGATGCAGCAACACACTCAGTCACACAAGGATTGATATGCCTCACTAATTGATAATGGGGAATCTCCTTTGAACCTAAACTTCTGATTGCAAATTGGATGCAAATGTGCAGGCTAGCGTGCGCGCCTGTAAGTCGCGCCTCACGACAGATTGTGGCGTTGTCGTCCACAAGGATGTGTGCTGCCCAACCGTGCAATAGGTTTGCTTTGCCAGCGACGCCAACCCTGGAGCGCGTGAACTGCGTTGTACCCACGTAGATGCCCTTGTAAGCCAAGTGTACCCTTGCTGTGGCGATCTCCGGTGCCGTAGTTCGTTCGCGCTCCACCCCGCAATAGCTGCAAATAATCCAATTGAACGGACCGTGAGCTGTCTGTAGACGAATCAATCCGTCCACGATCTGTGGGTGAAGCCTTCCCCCAGAGCGGATGTTCACGTCGAGCACCCCGTGCCAGTCCAGGACGATGTTGAGCGTCTTCCGGTCCGCAAGGGTTGTCCGAGGTAGGGGATCTGGGATCCCGTGGCTTTCTCGCCTTGGTGGAGGAGGCTTCGGTGGCTCTCGCTTTGGCGGTTGTCGCCAAGGTGGGTCTGGAGCGCCAAAGGCTGCTCCCTGCCCTTTTGGTGGCAACCTCAACGATGCCGGCGGCTGTTTGTACCTGATGTGTGGGCCAGGCCGGCTGTTTGCAGGGACAGAAGCCTTTCTGGCTGGCGGTGCCGCTAAGCGTGGGGGCGAAGAAGATCTTGCTTTGCTCAAAACACGTCCGCGACTGCTTGCCAAAAATGCTGCAACTGTCCCCCGCGCCGCTGGCCGCGGTCCGCACTTTACTGTGGCTTTCGTAGCAGGGGCCGAAGGTGAGGCCGGCACTGTAGGTCTATGAAACGGTGCTTCGTATACCCCACCCGCCCGGAATGCTGCTCTGCCTGAAAGCAAATCTTCTGTGTTGTGCACCGTGTCCCCGTCGGAGTAGTCTTCCAGGTGGTAGACCTCCGCGTTCCCGTAGTTTGGGGTCGAGGAACTAGACCTTTCCCCGTAGGCCTCGGGGCGGAGCCACACGTCCGTTGGCAGTTCGTTGCGGTAGACGTGAGCGGGCTCGGCCTGCAAATGCCCGTGGAGCGCCGGAGGGCTGCCCTCTGCAGTGTCCACGTCGATGCGGACCGTCGGATAGGCCGAGCTCCTTGGCGCCAGCACGATCGGCCTGTCGGTTGGCGAGGTCCTTGATGGCACACTCCTCGATCTGCCACGCGGGGATCGACTGGTCGTCGGGCGAGGAGTTCTGCGGGTTCCCGAAGGCTCCCGACTGCTCGACTCGCCTGCCGCGCCGAGGGCTGTGGCCTCCTGGATCGGTGTCGGAGTTCTTGACCGAGAGCGAGACCTAAGCACGATGGGTACTTGGGAATAAACTGCTCGCAGAACTTGCCTTGACACTGACCGTGGGGAGGTCGTAGATGTCCTTCTCCTCGGAGCTGTACCAGTCACCGCGCCTTGGGCTGCGGTCCTCGCTGTAGGCAAAGCCGGAGCAGACAACCAAGCCTCAGCAGGTGAAGCCTGCTGGGCCACGGAAGGCTGCGCCGCCTGCTGCTGCTGAGGTGGTGTAGAGGGAGTCGGAGACGAGGGAGTGGCAGGCACTGGATTTGCACCTGCCGCGCCAGTGGCTGCGGCCCTCCGTTCTTCTTCACGGATTGTCCGGATGCGAAGGGCCGTAGGCTGATGCCACCTGTGAAGCTCCTCCCAGCGCTGCTCGGTGACGTCCCGGTTCCAGGCCCGAAGGGCAGCAAGCTGCACCTCTGATCCCTGTTCCCACTGCAACTTGGGTGGTGTAAACCCAAAACGCTGCTGGACCTCGTCGATCACGTCCTCCTGGAGCTCCCACTTGCGGCTCCTCCACGGGTACCACGTTTGTGGTACTCTTCCTCGACGGCCATGCGCGCCCCCTTATGGGGGAACCGCTGAGGGAGGGCCTAGTTAATCCCGAAAGAAAGGCTATACGGCTGATAACCAATCAAAAGAGCAAGAAACCCCAAACGCGCGCCGAAGGCTGCGCCCTGAACAAAAAGAGGTGGATTGACCGTGGTTAATCCCTCAGCGGTTCAGGGGGTTGTCTCTAAACTCTAGTTCCGCACTCAGCGCCCTTTTTCAGTGAGCGCTTGAGCCAAACGGCGTTTGCCGTTTGACAAGTCTGTCATGTCATGCAACCCTCAACCTAAACCAAAGTGGCCTCATGCAAACCTCACGCCAGTGAACACACAACTAGGCAAGTTACCATGCCTTTGGGGGCAAAGGGGTCGTTATTTCTTGACTTTCTTGCCTCTAATCGTTGCATGATGGAAAGCCCCCTGATCACCTACCATAAAAGCACTGGGCTCGGGGCTTATCCATCAACAGTATATGTAGGTGTGAACGCACACATGGATACACAATGCTACACAAACATATATGCATATTATCCGACCATAATAGATCGTCTCTCTCACTGTCAAACCAAGAACACGGACGGCACGTATTGGCAGCTCCGAGCTCTATCATTCCTAGTCTAAACACTAAATCATGAAACAAAAATCCCAAACTGGCAAAGAAAAGGACCAATGGATCTTCACCATGAGGGGCGGCAAAGTGAGAGACCCAACGGGCCTCCCCAAAATCAAATTCTGCCTTTTGGGTGCCTGCTGCCTCCCTGGCAGCAGGCACCCAAAACACCGACTAGACACCAAAAACACCAGGAAGACAAAAACAGACACCCAAAACACCGGCAGACCCCGAAAACACCCAAACCATCCCGAAAAGCACTCGACCATAGAAACACCGAAACGGGCGCTAAAGAAACACCCCTACGCCGGCTCCCGCGCAAGCGACGGCTCGGCTCGCTCGCCCGGTCCTTGCGGAGGATGTTCTGCTCCCGGAGGCGTTGCAGCCGCTCCAAGTCCTGGCCGCTGGGTCGGCCATGAAGCTACCGGGGAACCCCGTCTTCAGCTGAGTCACTTGCTCAAAGCCCGGCATTAAAATGGTCGTAATCCCAGAAGCATGCTTCAAGAATTATGAAGGCGGCAGCTATTTATGCTTGGGATTATCCCTTATACTAACCTTCGTTTACCCGGGTTTTGATTGCGGCGCAGCTGAAACCCGGACATCCCTTAGCCAGTGGCCATCCATTGAGACAAAACGAGATGGCCGCTGATGGTTGTCTTCTTTTTCTTCAAGTGCCACAAAGGTCCAGGATGAACCCCTGGTTGTAGAGGGTGGGTCACCACCAAACCACCAACCCAGCCACCAACTAGAGGGAAGCTGATAATAGGGAACCTGAAATGCCAGTACTCTAGCCACTTACGCTAAGAACCAGGGGCTCGACTCCCACCAATCCAAGCCGGGAACCTGAGCAAATGGTCCACAACCCCCCCCCTCAAAATAGACAAAAATTGAACACAAGCAGCCAAAAGGATCTAAAGGATCCGCCTGGACCCTCGGACAACCCATATGGGTAGTTTGAGGGTCCAGGCAGACCAATACGAGGGTCTCAGAAACTAAACGGGTTGCTGTGGGGTTCATTAAATAAGCCATGAGCTATGATAAGAGCATAAGGTCTGTAATCCTTTATCCTTTAGTTCATATGATCTGCGAATGTGTTCAAATTCCAAAGCCTGCCATGAGCCACAGACCTTTCATTCACCCGTTGAACCCCCCCAGTTGGTGAGCTCGTGAAAAAATCGGGCCGGCCTTTGACCCGCAAAAGGTCGTTGCATGACCTTTTGCTGGTAGGGAAACAGTTGTCCAAGTTTAAAGAGCCAAAAACCAGGGGGCCCTTTTGTCCCTCAATCGGATTGGACTTTTCTTCAGGGGTCACCCAGCACATCAAACACGTCTTCTCCATTTCAAGAGGAAGCCAACGAGCAACGGTTACTTTGAATCAAAGCCATGTTACCCAAGCCATCTGAACCGCGAGCCTGTTTCTTCTTCTCCGCAGCCGATTGGATCTCGGCCTGGCAAGACGTAAACGTCTTGCAAGATCCCAGTGGAAGTTGGCCAAAAAGGTGATGCCTACAACCAGCAAAGAAAGGACATATAGGGAAGCCAGGGCAAACCACCGGGATTATTAGGGCAACGGCAACTGGAAGCAACATGTGTTGCATGCTGGGCATCTGTACGGTATGAGCCAAAGAAGACACCGAGAGAACTTGCCCAATAATATCTTGTAAAGATAAGCATATGTGTCATGTACACTCACCATACTCATGTGGATATCAAAAAGATGGCCTGGCGCAGCCTTGTGGAACGTGCCGCCTTAAGGCGCCCCAAAGAGCACCCTAGAAATCTCACACTCGTTGCTGGGCTTCGTCGCCTGAGCCATGATGAAAAGCCCTAATATGGCCTATGGTCCTCGTGGATGACCCTCCCCGCAAAAGCCCAAGTCAAGGAACCGTTCTTTTTTTCACCGCACAAATTGGAGGCAACCAAGATGCCACAAACTCGACTCCCGGACCCGGAGAAAGTGATGAAGGCCGTGGTCAAGAGAATTGGAATTGGACCCCAAAAATCGTTGGGCCCTGTCGGCTTTCTGTTTTTTGACCAACTTGCAAGCTGACCTTGTTTTTTGTTCCCCACTGTCCCTGGAAAATGTTCAACTTGAAAAGACACAAAGCCATCATGGATTTCTTAGGAGTTCGCAGCCGATAGTTCAAATGATAAGTATCAGTTAGCCTTCGAGGTTGCACACTATCCTTTTGTTGCAAAGTGCTATTTGAACTCAACTGGCCTTGGGAGCCGTTCAAAAAAGCTTCGGCAGAGTCTGGATTGAAACCAAAGCCTTCCCTTTAAGAAGGAAAGGGTGTGACTGGGCAACTAGGCGACCCGACAGACAAAGCCCCTGCCTCTTTCTCCTTTTGCACCAACCGCCGCTGATTGGCCTTGCGGATGCCAACTTACATCCGCGGCTGCCGCAAAAAAGAAGCGACCAGCACCTGCAAAACCTGAAGTAAGGCTTGTCGGACCCAGAAATGAACGGTTAACCTTTGGGGTCCAGTAGGCCTTTAGCCTCACATTGGCCAAATACTGGAAATCGACAGGTCCAAAGGTCGATTCGCTTTGGGCAACTGAGAAGGGAACCTCAAGTAAAGGACCACGGCTTTCACTCGTGTTGCCCCCGAATCGGTGGAATCACTCGCCATGGACTTTCATTGGGAGCCGGTGCCAAACTTTTTCTGCGTGGCCCCTCGATTACCTCGACGTGGTCCAACAACATCTTGAAACAGCGGGTGCTGTATGCAAAGGGGAACTGAAAGGAGGAAAACCGAAAGGGCCGTTTTGTGACCCGGTCCGAATCCTAAAGAAGACTCACGGGCCCCTAGAGGAATCGCAAGGGAAATCACTCAATTTGCGGGGTTTCCAAATCGAAGAGGTTACACCCATATAGGTGTGTCTTTTTGTTAGGGGATCCCCAAATTGTGTTTATATTCCTCTTGGTTTCCCTTTAAACCATCAAAATCGGGTGGGCACCCTCAAAAGAAGACACACCATAGCGGGCGCATATCCCAATGACACGGAATTATTTCCCAAGCCAAGCTCAGTCGCCTGAAGGACTTTGGCTGACTAAAACATGGGCCACACGAGGACTCTTCCGACTCCTCTCAAAGACGCACACCTCCCAGGGTTCCAGCGCCTGTGTCACCAAACGCATTTGTGGAACCCCCGTGGTTTCCTTTCAGCTTCTCTTCGACACCATCCAACGAGGGTAGCAAAGCACAACGACACATCCTGGGCAAACCCCTGGACGAAAACATGGGGAACCCAAGATGCGAAGGCCATGGGGAAGTGCTCTTACCATCAAAGTGCCAAGAACACTGCTGCACAATACCATCAAGTTGCATAAGCATTCGGTGAAAAGAAGTAAGCTTGAAACACCAATCAACGCACACATCCACCAGCCAAGGAAACCAACGGAACAAACAAACACAAAAGAAGCAGCAAACCAGCAAAGCAACGAGCAGGCAAGCAAGCAAGAAAGCAAGCCGGCAGGAAAGCAAAGCCAGCAAGCCAGCGAGCAAGCCCAGGAAGCCAGCAAAGCAAGCAAGCCGGGTAGCCATCAGCCAGCAAAGCAAGCAAGCAAACACACTAGCAACAACCAGTCAAGCAAGGAATGAAGCACAGCAAAGTCAAAACCAACAAAACAACAAACCCACAAACAAACAAATAAGCAAGCAAGCAGGCAGGAAGGCAGACAGACAGGCAGACAGACAAACAGACAAACAAACAAACAACAAAAGCAAAGCAAGCAAGCAAGAAAAACGAGCACGCACGCACGCAAGCACGCAAGCACGCAAACAACCAACCAACCAACCAACCAGCCAAGCAAGCAAGCAACCAAGCAACCAAGCAACCAAGCAACTAAGCAAGCAAGCAAGCAAGGAAACAACCCACAAACAACAAACAATAAACGACAACCACAAACAAACACAAAATATACAACAAACAAACACAATAAACAACTCACGCAAGCGCGAACGAACGAACGAGAAAAACACACACACACAAAATACACAACAAACAAACAAACAAGCAAACAAGCAGGCAGAAAGGCAGACAGACAGACAAACAAACAAACAACAGAAGCAAACCAACAAGCAAGCAAGCAAGCAAGCAAGCAAGCAAGCACGCACGCACGCACGCACGCACGCACGCAAGCAGGCTCGCACGCACGCGAGCACGCGAGCACGCAAACAACCAACCAACCAACCAAGCAAGCAAGCAAGTAAGCAAGCAAGCAACCAAGCAAGCAACCCACAAACAACAAACAACGAACACAAACAAACACAAACAAACACAAACAAACACAAACAAACACAAACAAACACAAACAAACACAAACAAACACAAACAAACAAAATATACAACAAACGAACGCAAGCACGAATGAACGAACTGGAAAAGACACACACACAAAATACACTACAAACAATCAAGCAATCAAACAAACAAACAAACAAACAGACAAGCAAGCAAGCAAGCAAGCAAGCAAACACACAAAAAAAAGAAAACAAAAACAAAAAAAACCCAAAAAAAAAACGGAAAACAAAAACAAGCACACAACCAAACAAATAATCAATCAATCAAGCAATCAATCAAACAATCAAACAAACACAAGCAAGCAACGACAAACAAACAGACAGACAGACAGACAGACAAACAAACAGAAGGACAGACAGACAGACAAACAGACAAACAGGCAGGCAGGCAGACAGACAGGCAGACAGGCAGCAAAAAAATAAGACAAACAAACAGACAAACAAACAAAAAACAACAACCATCCAACCAACCAATGAAATCAACCAATCAAAAGAATCAAATTAAATCAAATCAAATCAAAGCAAACAATCAATAAAATCAATCAACCAATCAAACAAACCAACACAACCAACCAACCAGCCAAACAATCAACAGCGACACTCTCATGCTTAAAGTAGGACTCGACTGTTCGTGCTCAGCATCAATTCTGGGGGCTGAATTCTCGAGATTTTCGGGACAACAGCATTATCTCGTTTTGCATCCAATCAAAGTTCGGGGGCCAGATGGGGCCATGGCAAGGTCATGACGCAAGGAGGTCCTTGCTGGCACTTAATGTTGGCCAATAGGACTACTTGGGTGTTCGGCCAAGTTAGGAAGTTGTTGGTAACCTAGGTGCTTGTCCACTTATAAGCTAATCACTTACTAACTTGGCCGAAGATCCAAAGTTTTTGTTGGGATTGGGTCGGGGCGCCTTCTGCTCCTCCTCGAACTTCTTCTTGCGGTACTGTTCTCTGACTTCCTGAGCTTGACGGAGAGGGACCGTCCCACAACCAGCTGAGGTCTTGGCTTTGTATTGGGGTGGTACAGTGCCATGCGTTGCAGACTCAACCTCTGCCAAAAGTTTGCAAACAACATGTTTCCCAAATTTTCTCAGTATGCGTCTGACTCAAAATCGGGCAGCCCCAAAACGGGCTTTTTCGTTTTGTCTAAACATGTCAAAAAGCTGGCATACGAAATAGATTCCCAAGTAGAGGACCTACATCAAGGTCGGCCGCTTTACCCCCGGGCCTGAAACAGGCGGCGCGTTTCCTCCCTGGCTGCTTTCAACTCACTTCGATCGAACATAGCCGGACGACATGTTGCATTCCTCGATTCTGCCATTCCTCGTTTCTACAAAATCCAAAACTTGAAATCGCAAATGGATCCCGAAGTAAGGTATCTACATTACACACATACATAAACACATACAGACATTACATTACATTACAGCACATTGCATTACATTACATTACATTATATTACTCCCACTACATTGCATGACATCACATTGCCATACCTACATACATATCACACATTACAGTACTTTCTTGCTTGCTTACTACTTGCTTACATACATACAGTGCATACATGCATACATACATACATGCATTACATACATACATTACATTACATTACTGTACTTTGCGTAGCATTTTATTGCGTACAAACATTACGTACATACATACATACATACATACATACATACATACATGGTTAGCATACATTACATTACATTACATTACATTACATTACAGTACATTACATTACATTACATTACATTACATACATACATACACACATTGCATACATACATACATACATACATACGTACATACATACATACATACATACATACATACATACATACATACATACATACATACATACATTACATACATACATACATACATACATACATACATACATACATACATACATACATACATACATACATACATACATACATACATACATACATACATTACATACATACATACATACATACATACATACATACATACATACATACATACATACATACATACATACATACATACATACATACATACATACATACATACATACATTACATTACATTACATTACATTACATACATACATACATACATACATACATACATACATACATACATACATACATACATACATACATACATACATACATACATACATACATACATACATACATACATACATACATACATACATACATACATACATACATACATACATACATACATACATACATACATACATACATACATACATACATACATACATACATACATACATACATACATACATACATACATACATACATACATACATACATACATACATACATACATACATACATACATACATACATACATACATACATACATACATACATACATACATACATACATACATTACATACATACATACATACATACATACATACATACATACATACATACATACATACATACATACATACATACATACATACATACATACATACATACATACATACATACATACATACATACATACATACATACATACATACATACATACATACATACATACATACATACATACATACATACATACATACATACATACATACATACATTACATACATTACATTACATTACATTACATTACATTACATTACATTACATTACATTGCATTACATACATTACATTACATTACATTACATACATACATACATACATACATACATACATACATACATACATACATACATACATACATACATACATACATACATACATACATACATTACATACATACATACATACATACATACATACATACATACATACATACATACATACATACATACATACATACATACATACATACATACATACATACATACATACATACATACATACATACATACATTACATACATACATACATACATACATACATACATACATACATACATACATACATACATACATACATACATACATACATACATACATTACATACATACATACATACATACATACATACATACATACATACATACATACATACATACATACATACATACATACATACATACATACATTACATACATACATACATACATACATACATACATACATACATACACATACATACATACATACATACATACATACATACATACATACATACATACATTACATTACATACATACATACATACATACATACATACATACATACATACATACATACATACATACATACATACATACATACATACATACATACATACATACATACATACATACATACATACATACATACATACATACATACATACATACATACATACATACATACATACATACATACATACATACATACATACATACATACATACATACATACATACATACATACATACATACATACATACATACATACATACATACATACATACATACATACATACATACATACATACATACATACATACATACATACATACATACATACATACATACATACATACATACATACATACATACATACATACATACATACATACATACATACATACATACATACATACATACATACATACATACATACATACATACATACATACATACATACATACATACATACATACATACATACATACATACATACATACATACATACATACATACATACATACATACATACATACATACATACATACATACATACATACATACATACATACATACATACATACATACATACATACATACATACATACATACATACATACATACATACATACATTACATACATACATACATACATACATACATACATACATACATACATACATACATACATACATTACATTACATTACATTACATACATACATACATACATACATACATACATACATACATACATACATACATACATACATACATACATTACATACATACATACATTACATACATTACATTACATTACATTACATTACATACATACATACATACATTACATTACATACATACATACATACATACATACATACATACATACATACATACATACATACATACATACATACATACATACATACATACATACATACATACATACATACATACATACATACATACATACATACATACATACATACATACATACATACATACATACATACATACATACATACATACATACATACATACATACATACATACATACATACATACATACATACATACATACATACATACATACATACATACATACATACATACATACATACATACATACATACATACATACATACATACATACATACATACATACATACATACATACATACATTACATACATACATACATACATACATACATACATACATACATACATTACATACATACATACATACATACATACATACATACATACATACATACATACATACATACATACATACATACATACATACATACATACATACATACATACATACATACATACATACATACATACATACATACATACATACATTACATACATACATACATACATACATACATACATACATACATACATACATACATACATACATACATACATACATACATACATACATACATACATACATACATACATACATACATACATACATACATACATACATACATACATACATACATACATACATACATACATACATACATACATACATACATACATACATACATACATACATACATACATACATACATACATACATACATACATACATACATACATACATACATACATAACATACATACATTACATACATACATTACATTACATTACATTACATTACATTACATTACATTACATACATTACATTACATACATACATTACATACATACATACATACATACATTACATACATACATTACATTACATTACATACATTCATACATACATACATACATACATACATACATACATACATACATTACATACATACATACATACATACATACATACATTACATTACATTACATTACATTACATTACATTACATTACATTACATTACATTATTACATTACATTACATACATACATACATACATACATACATACATACATACATACATACATTACATACATACATACATTACATACATACATACATACATACATACATACATACATACATACATACATACATACATACATACATACATACATACATACATACATACATACATACATACATACATACATACATACATTACATACATACATACATACATACATACATACATACATACATACATACATACATACATACATACATACATACATACATACATACATACATACATACATACATACATACATACATACATACATACATACATACATACATACATACATACATACATACATACATACATACATACATACATACATACATACATACATTACATTACATACATACATACATACATACATACATACATACATACATACATACATACATACATACATACATACATACATACATACATACATACATTACATACATACATACATACATACATACATACATACATACATACATACATACATACATACATACATACATACATACATACATACATACATACATACATACATACATACATACATACATACATACATACATACATACATACATACATACATACATACATACATACATACATACATACATACATACATACATACATACATACATACATACATACATACATACATACATACATTACATTACATACATACATACATACATACATACATACATACATACATACATACATACATACATACATACATACATACATACATACATACATACATACATACATACATACATACATACATACATACATACATACATACATACATACATACATACATACATACATACATACATACATACATACATACATACATTACATACATACATACATACATACATACATACATACATACATACATACATACATACATACATACATACATACATACATACATACATACATACATACATACATACATACATTACATACATACATACATACGTACATAGATACATTGCATACACACATACATATATACATATATACAAATATACATACATACATACATACATACATACATACATATATTACCTTACACTGCACTATCTTATAGTACATTTCGTTATATTACATTATATTACATTACATTACCTTACACTGCATATTACATCACATTGCATTACATTAATACATAAAAACATTA